GGATGAGAGGCTGGTTTGGTGAAAAATTAGTGCGTTTAGGCCAGGGTTTGACTTCGTGTGGGCGGGGCCTAATGCTGCGTTCACACCACAGGCTTCTCGTCGCTCTGGTTGTTTATCTGCTCTGTTCTGTAGCTTCCAGCTAGAGAGCAGCTCGGCTTTATTGACTTTATTGAACAGGTTTTTATTTAGAAAGTCCATCTCCAATCATCCTCTGCTCATCAGTCCTTCAGGATTATAACCTCACTATAATCTGCTCTGCTCTGTTCCGGACCTCCAGCATCCCGCCGGGAGGCGGCGCTGGGAATCCCCGCTGAAAGCTCTCTGCCTGTGGGGGATTTCCTGCTGCCGTTCGTAGCGGCTGGAATTCGATAGAAAGAGTTTTTACGACACGAGTGGCTCGTTTTTTGCGACAGTAGGCTGACAGGAAAGGAGGTATAAGAGGGGGGAGAGACATGCGGGAAAGGACGACGGGCCGGATCCCAACCCGGGTCGCTGTCGTGGACTAGGCCTCCTTACATGGGTCGTGCGCGCTAACCACTACTCATAGAAAGAGTTTTTAAGGTTTGTGGTAAAAACTGCAAGAACCAGAATATATAATCCAATATTTTTCATCAGCTGGTTTTAACATTTCTACTTAATTTGGGTTTTTATAAACTGTTTCTCCATAGTTCATAAAAAGTGTTTTAGTGCAGCAATAATGATCAGAGCTGCTCTCTGTTCCTTCTGTATAACATTCTACCTGCTTTATTTAACCTTTGGAGTTTAACTCCTTGATATTTATTTATTGTTCATATGCAGAATGTCTGCAGAAGGATGACAGCTTGCAGGTAGAGTCTATCTCTGCCAAAGAAATCCTGGATCAGCTTTCCTGATTGGTTGACGCTCTGGCGTCCGGCAGGAAAAGTTCAATTTACTGAACTCCAGCGTCAAACGCTCAGATGCTCAGACGCCAGAACTCTCGAATGCTCGAACCTCTCAACTTTGTCCCCCATGAAACTTTGCATGTAAAACCTGGCATACACTATGATTTTTTTTACCCTTTTCTCTAAGTCTATAGTCATGCTAGGAATTTTCTGATAAGGCCGACTTTCAGCCTGATGGTGCGTGGCGTAGTAAACAGGGGCTAACAAGGGGCCATCAGCCTCTAACGACCACCTCCCCAACAGGAATCGTAAAGCTGGGAGAAAATCAATCATGTTTGAAATTCAGTCGGCCGTCCTAAGGTGGTCGTGGGCAAATTGCTCAGTGCGCAAACAAGGATTCTTCTTCTTTCTCTCAGAGGAAAACAGAAGCATGGCGGGGGGGGCAATGAGTGAAATGGAGTTCTCTCTGTCAAATTGACAGACCGTAGTAGCCTCGTTAGCTCAGCCATGTCTTTGTCCAAATACGTCGTCTCCTTTTCTTTTTAGGGCTTTCAGCACAAAATTGCCCAAATATCCAAGGCAGCGCGTTTCACTCTAGTGAGCTTCATGTTCCTCTTCTACACCTGGTTTTTAGACGTACGGTGTGAGCAGGTAGATCGCATCAGAGCGTCGGGTCGCACAGCGTGAGAACAAACATCGTGAGCTGTTAACTTTTAAACCCTGTGGTGTCATCGTACAGTGCGAGCTTTAGCTGCATGCAACAATTGGAAATATCGTACAGTTTACGCCCGCCTTAAACCAGACACTTTGGTGCCCAGAACACGCCCGGTGTGAACGCAGCATCACTGAGACGTTCCGAAGCAGTAGGAAGAACTTCGGATTGGATGACCTGCATTAACATGACAAACATAAACCCCAGTCCAACTTTACAACAAATTCCACCTGCCTGTGTTGTTTCACTCCTTAAAGGGGCGGACTTTCCAGCGGTACGTTGTTTCCATTCAGCTTTTAGGCCGACCGTCATGAACTGGACTTAGATGCGTTAGATGCATGGAGCCATGGCTCGGTTCGGAAACGTCGGCTCAGTATTTCCAGCTGATCCGTCGTGTCCATGTTCAGTTAAAACAGTCATGGACAGTTTGATTTTAGATGTCTTTATATTTAACTATCTGATAACTAAATCCCTATTTAATGCGTTACTTTATTCCTCAGTGTCGGCCCTTCCAGACGAAGGCGTCGTTGAACTCTTTAATGAAAAATAACCCTGATTTTTAGCTAGGTTGGCAGTCTATGTAAATATTTTATTTATATGTTTATTACAGAAATACTATCAATATTAATTCTACATATTCATATTTAATTTAACAACAAAAAAAACACACTTTGCCTTTTCTTGTGGCTGTATTTCATGTGAAAAAATAGAAAAACACCAAAATAAAAATGACTTCATGAACATTTTGTCCCTTTTTTTTGTTGTTTCAAAAAATACAGAATTAGCAAAGATTTCCTTTTAATGTGTGAAAGAAACATCTTCATTGTTATTTTGTTGTCTTCATACACACTGTACAGAAACTTCCAGTCCTTTTTTCTTACTTGGCATTTATTCTGTACCTGTAGATCCTGGAAGAAGATCTACCATTTATATATCTATAGTTATATAACTTCCCCATAGAGATTTCTGACTAGAAAATCACAAAGTGACAGATTTGCATCCCTAAAGTCTTTAATCTTTGATAACCTGCTTCCACTGGGATCTGTAATGTTGTAGAGGTTAACTCCATTCAAAGAGGATCTATTTACTCTATATCTTTCTTCAGATAATCTCTGATATGACCCTTCTTTCAGCGGGGAAACGTAGTCCCCGCGTATTTTGCATGGAGACGTGCTTCATTAGCAGTTATATCAAACTTGATTTTACGTCAATCAGCCTAAATTTTCTTCCAGGATCTCATTTTGAAACGCGCCGCCATGTTGTTGTCACTTTATTATGTAAATGTTAATAATGCAGATGCTTCCCATTCTGGCTGCCATCCACAATTTATTTTATGGAGATCATTGTTTCCTTAAACTATTTTCTAAATGATGTAAAATTAAATTTCCAGTAAGTTATTCCAATAAAAGTTATTAAGTTGGTTATTAGATCGGCTTCTTTAATGAGATAATTTGCAGAAGTCGGTTCATGTTGGCTCCTATGTTTGTTAAAGGAAAAGTCCGGTCAGCCAGGAATAATCAATGGATCGTTATTTATACCTAAAACTAATATGTTCGCAATGATTTCATCAATTTAGGGTTAAAACAATAAAACCAAAATAATTTTCGTTGTGATCACTGAGTCTGGGAGCGGCCATTTTTGCCCAAATATAGTAGCCCCTCCCTCCTGCCATCTTCCAGCAGTGACGTCACGGTGCGGTAAGCCTAGCGCCATTCTCCCCGCTTTCCAAGCTAAATCAATGGGAACTACTAGACACATCTGCAATCAACAACAATTATTGAAGATTTCCAGAGGACTTCACCATTGAAATTCACCAGAGCTATAGTGAAACTGACAATGCCCACGTGCATGGCAGCTGGATGCTGGAATACATCGGGTAAAAGTGGAAAAAAGAGTTATTCCACCTTTCTGATTCCTGATCCTCCACGGACGGGTTGGTCGTTGGATCGCCAACTTGAAGAGGGAGGATTTGCCATCGAACTTCTGGCCAGAGAAAAAACCCGTAATATGTAGCCAACATTTGGAAGAAGAATGTTTTCAAGATGACTTGGATAATAGCGCGTTGTGACAAACACCAGATACAGCACTGGGACTTGATCAACAGCCGATACCGCACCGTGACAATGTCACTAACCAGTAGGTGGCAGTAGTGTTCTTTGACTCTGAATTAAAAACACTGATCATTTATTGAACAGGATGGAATCATTGCAGATTTAAAGAACTTTCAGAAGTTTGAATTCTGAATAAGAGCGACTTTTCCTTTAAATCTGGTAAGCAGACCTTTGCAGCCAAAAATGATCGTTTCTGCAGATATTTCACAGTTGGTGTTCCTTAATTAGAGAACATCAGCTGCAGGAGGCTTTCAACTGTTTGCTCGTTCTGAGCTCTGCTGTCAAACAAATATTCCTGCACATGCAGAACCATAAAGAGATTCTCTTTAAACCAAAATAAGCTGCCTTTCTATTCCCCCTCATTATGAAACAGAAAGATTATTAATTAGTAAAAATTTACATTTCTTAGCCCATGCTACAACTGTTGTTTTTTGTCTTTGGGAAGTTATAATTAGTTGAGTTATGTCTTGGATGCATTGTTTTATATAATGTCATTTTAAACAGACGTGAAGCAGGAAATGAGGGAAGGGGAGCCCAGAAGGGTCAAACTGAAACTTTTCTCTTCTGCTGCTCGCTGCTTCCTCTGCGTAAATCTTCCTTTCTGAGTGAACCACAGGGGCAAAAGTAGGCTGGCTTCAAAGCTCCATAACCATCCAATCTCCATGCTCTCCTCGTTTGCATTCTGAAAGAAGCTTTAGATGACGCCTCTAATCTTGATTTTGTTAACGACTGAACACACGGGGTTCAGCGATTTA